CCTCCCTACGGAGCCTCGATGCGGGGGAGTCTGTTTCTGTGACTGCTTGCATTTCCACGTGGTCTCAAGACCGGAGGATGACTTCTCTGGGGCCACTCGTGGGCAGCATCCAGCGGCCTGTGAGCCCGGGTCTTAGCACAGCCGGTCTGGGTGGACCCGGATGCCTCCTTGCGCCTGAGCTCCACAGCTTACCTGCGGGCTGGTCGTGGCTCGTGGTATCGGGGTTAGTGTGAGGATTAAACAGGACACAATCCACGTCAATGTGGAGCGTACTATTTGACACAGAAGAAGAGCAAAAGTTGGCTGTCGCAGTAAGCTGACAACGAACATCGGCTGGACAAGTAGAAAAGTTGTAAGGCGGGAGTTCTTTTTCCTTTGTTCTTAAGTTTCTGTCTTTCTTCCATGAGAGACAGAGACAGGCGCTGCCAACAGCGTCCTCTCTCCACGGTCCTGCCCCGGCCTCAGCCAACCCCAGATCACGGGCATATGTGCACCCGGTGTGCTCAGGGAGGCCTCCGTCTGTGAGCCTGGGCCCTCCCTGGGTGGCCGAGGCTTGCCGGGCGTTCAGTTCCTGCCTCAGCAGGGCCCAGCCTGCGGCCCTGCTTTAGATCAGCCCCGTTCCCTGGAAATCCCTGGCGTGTGTAGCAGCAATAGCTTAGAATGTCTGCCCCCAAAGATGTCTTCCAGGTTCTGATCTGACTCCTCCTTCCTTACGGGAAGATTTCTGCTACAAAGAGAACTAGGAATAGCAAAAGGGTGTTCAATTAATGGCCGTATTGGAATTAGAAGCCAAGGTTATTTCCTTTGGAGCTTGAAGTTATTTTCCTTGAGAGTTACGGGTCTGTTGAAGAAATTGAAGACCACAGAAAAATTTAACTTATTTTGCTTCCCCCATCTTTTTTTTTTTTTTTGAGAGGTTTTCGCTATAGGGTACATGCACTTGCCAGAAAGACAGAGACAGAGAGACAGAAAGAGAGAAATCACCCCCCAGGGGGGATGGCCATGCCGCAATCCCTTCTCCTCCATTCTCCTCTCAGGATCTTGGGCACACACACACACACACACGTGCCCGGTGTGAGTTTAAGTCACCAGGTCCGGGACTCGAACCGCGATTGGCTACATGGGAGTCCAGTAACATAGCCATTATGCCAACTGCTGGTCTTGCCCCTTCCATCTTTTGAAATCAAGAAAAATAGGAGCACATTAATCTACCTTTGAAAGCACTCATATGAGCAGTGCTTGACTCTAATAAACCAATTCTAACAGAATGCGTGTTCTAGTTTCCGTACGTTGTCAGTGAATGAAGACAGAGTGAACAGGGCCGAGGAGACAGAGGCAGAGAGGCAAGGAGGGAGAGGAAGAAGCCGAGAAGGGAGGTAGAGGGGGTAGGCAGACAACAGGAAGGTGCTGGTAGCTATTTTTATTGTACTCTTTTGTACTTAATGAATCCTCACGAAACCGTTCGGGTGACGCAGTGTAATCTCGCTTTCCAGACAAGGAGACCGGGGCTGGATGGGTTAGGTGGTATGTCTCAGGTAATTTCTTGTAGAAGGTGTTGCCATGGGCCACGTGAGCTTGCCGGAGAGACAGTGAGAAGAAATGCAAAGTCGCTCCTCGGAGGGGACGGCCACGCCTCAGTCCCTTTTCCTCCTGGGATTTTTTGGACGTGTAGAGAGGTTTTCGCTATAGGGTACATGCACTTGCCAGAAAGACAGAGACAGAGAGACAGAAAGAGAGAAATCACCCCCCAGGGGGGATGGCCATGCCGCAATCCCTTCTCCTCCATTCTCCTCTCAGGATCTTGGGCACACACACACACACACACGTGCCCGGTGTGAGTTTAAGTCACCAGGTCCGGGACTCGAACCGCGATTGGCTACATGGGAGTCCAGTAACATAGCCATTATGCCAACTGCTGGTCTTGCCCCTTCCATCTTTTGAAATCAAGAAAAATAGGAGCACATTAATCTACCTTTGAAAGCACTCATATGAGCAGTGCTTGACTCTAATAAACCAATTCTAACAGAATGCGTGTTCTAGTTTCCGTACGTTGTCAGTGAATGAAGACAGAGTGAACAGGGCCGAGGAGACAGAGGCAGAGAGGCAAGGAGGGAGAGGAAGAAGCCGAGAAGGGAGGTAGAGGGGGTAGGCAGACAACAGGAAGGTGCTGGTAGCTATTTTTATTGTACTCTTTTGTACTTAATGAATCCTCACGAAACCGTTCGGGTGACGCAGTGTAATCTCGCTTTCCAGACAAGGAGACCGGGGCTGGATGGGTTAGGTGGTATGTCTCAGGTAATTTCTTGTAGAAGGTGTTGCCATGGGCCACGTGAGCTTGCCGGAGAGACAGTGAGAAGAAATGCAAAGTCGCTCCTCGGAGGGGACGGCCACGCCTCAGTCCCTTTTCCTCCTGGGATTTTTTGGACGTGTATGCACACGCGCCTGGTGTGAGTCTGAAGTCCCACATCTGGGACTCGAATTGCAGTCTACGTGTGGGAGGTCCGCGCCTTAACCCCTTGGCCGCCTGCTAGCCCGCTGTTGGACTAGTTAGCAGGAGAGCTGCATTTGGAAGGTGTGGATTTGTTCCTGTGCTTTCTGCTGTCTTCTCCTCCCCAGTCTCTTTCCCTCTCTGTCCCGACTTCCTGTCTCCTCCCTTCCTTTGCTCCTTCCTCGGCCTTCTGCCTCTTTCCCGTCTGTGGGACGCTGCCCTCCTCGGGGGCTTTTCCACACACCTCTGCTGGAGCGTCGGAGGTGGCTCACGGTCCTTCCGGGCCTGCTCAGAGCTCGGTGCCGTGTGCACGCCGATGTAGGTGTCCCGTGTGCCCACCCCAGCCCGTTGTGCAGCCGTGCCCTCCCCCCCAGAGCAGGGCCGCTGTGGGGCGGGCTGCGAGGATGGAGAAGCTGAGCGTAGGCCTTGCTAGGGAATGGCTGTCACTGTATTTCAGGTCAGTCACCTGCTTAGAGGGTAATTTTCTTGACTCTTGCAATGTAAAAAAAATGTTTTCTAATATGAAATTCTGCTTATTGCTAGGCTATTCTCCTGAGGGAAAGGGCAGAGTGGGGAAGGGGACTCTCCTACCCCCTCACGCACAGACCCAGAGGGTCCTGAGGCTTGCGGTGCTGCCCGACGAAAACCCGCAGTTTGGCGGAGGTGGAGAAAACGCAGCCTACACCTTTGCCTGTGGATCCTCCCCCACCGCCCCAGTCAGCGCTGGCTCCCGAAATGTCACCTAGGTGACACCCCTCCACCCCTGCACTTACTAAATACCCACACCAGCTCCCCGAAGAGCCTTCCTGACAAGTCAGATCAGGTAACGCTCTGCTCAAGTGTGCACTAGGGACAGGCCGGAGGGGACGTGCATGCCAGGGCTGACGCACAGGCTCTGACAGGGAGCTCGGCCATGTGCCTCCCGCTCACCATCGCACGCCCACGGTTTCTTCAGGGCGGCGGGCAGAGGGAGAATGGGGGGCTGCAGTGGAAGCAGGATGGGGCTAGTTAAGAGATGGTAGGCTGGGGTTTATTACAACTTGAAATGCAAACTTCTTAGCATGGGCGCTTCTTGTTTTACTTTTATCAGAGACAGAAGTATTTTTTAAAAAAATAGTAATTGATTTTATTTATTGTCACTTTTCATTGTTTGCTATAGGACATGCACGAGAGAGAGAGAGAAAGTGAGAAAGCAAGCTGCCAGATCTAGGACTGGAACCATGGTTGGCCATGTGGGAGTCCAGTGCCCTAACCACCATGCCACCTGCTGGCCTCCAGCATGTCACTTCTTTTATTTGAGAGATTTTTGCTATCAGACATGTGTGCTTGCTAGAAAGACTGAGAGACAGAAAGCAAGAAATCACCCCCCCCCCCAGCGGGCTTTTCCACAATCCCTTCTCCTCCATTCTCCTCTCGGGATCTTGGGCACGCTCACACACGCACATGCGCCCGGCATGAATTTAAGCCACCGGGTCTGGAACGCGAACCGCGGTCGACTACGTGGGAGTCCAGCGACATAGCCATTACGCTAACTGCTGGTCCCCAGTCACTTCTTAATAAGGAGTAGAAAACATAGACTGCAGAGCCCTCGTGCTGCACAGGTGTAAGCAAACAGCTGTGCTTTCCTGGTTCCACCTGTCACCATTACAGCCTCCTCTGTCCCGCCCCACGACGCGCTCCATCTCCCACACGAGGAAACGGAGCCGTGGTGGGTAACTGACTTCCCTCTGCTGTGTGTCAGCCGTCCAAGAAGAAAGGCAGAGGAGCCGGGAGCGAGCCGACAGTGAGGTGGAATGTACCAGCGGCGGCCACGAGGACATGCCCGTGGAGAGGATTCTGGAAGCCGAGCTTGCTGTGGAGCCAAAGACAGAATCCTACGGTGACATGAACATGGAGAACTCGGTAGGTGGGCTTGGCCTCCGTCGTCCTCCTGCTGGTGTGGTGGAGCTCTGGCAGGGGCGACTGTGCGTCCCAGGGCCTGTCCCTCACCCTGCTGTGCTCCTCGTGCAGACCAACGACCCTGTCACCAACATCTGTCACGCCGCGGATAAGCAGCTGTTCACACTGGTTGAATGGGCCAAGCGCATCCCCCACTTCTCTGGCCTCACCTTGGAGGACCAGGTCATTCTGCTGCGTGCAGGTACATCTCGGGGTTCCTTCCACTTGGGTCAGTCACCTGGGCTGCTATTCCAAGTGACTGTTGGGGTCCTGACAGGGGTAACCTGAAGGAACAGCTGCCCGTCCAAGTGGTCCCGGTTGACAATGGGGTAACCCCCGAGGGTTGTGCTTTCTAATGCTGTCTGAAATCTGGTGGGCCTGCTCCGAAACACTTCCCAAATGGAGCCGTGTTTGTTCAGGCGCGCGGGCTCTTATCCCATGCAAGTTTTAGCATGGCTTTGTAATTTGCATGTCATTGTCAAAGCCCACGAGGGTATTTTTAGTGAGGGTGATTTGAAAGCTGTGACTCGTTGCTGTGATGCCTTGGGCCAGCAGGAAGAGTCCATCTCATAGGGGATCCTGGAGGCCAAAGCAGTCTGCTCAGACTTGCACAAAACAGATTTTTTTTGGAGAGATTTTCACTGCAGGGCATGTGCGCTCGCCAGACAGACAGAGAGAGACATAGAGACAGAAAGCGAGAAATCACCCCCCAGGGGGGATGGTCACGCCGCAATTCCTTCTCCTCCATTCTCCTCTCGGGATCTTGGGCACGCACGCACACACGCCCGGCGTGAGTTTTAAGCCACCGGGTCCAGGACACGAGCCGCGGTCGACTACGTGGGAGTCCAGCGACATAGCCATTACGCTAACTGCTGGGTCCCCAACAGACTATTTTTTAAGAGAGATTTTTGCTATAGGACGCATGTGCTTGCTGGAGAAAGATGGAGAGACAGAAAGCAAGAAATCACCCCTGGGGGGATGGCCACGCTGCAGTCCCTTCTCCTCCGTTCTCCTCTCTGGATTTTGGGCATGCACACCCACACACCTGGTGTGAGTTTCAGGCTGCTGGGTCTGGCCACGTGGGAGCCCAGCAATGTACCCACTACGCCACCTGCTGGTCCATCAGCAGGTTCTAACATCCCTTCCTGTTTTAAGATCGTGTGCATTTCTTGCCCCCCCGTTTGTGGGGCTCTGTGCCATCCTCGACGAATGAGGGTCTCTGTTAGGTAACGAGCAGTCCCTGAGTGTCAGCCGGGCCACATCCTGTGCTGGATGGTCCCAGATGACACCCAGAAAATGAAACTAGGTCGTCAGGCCCTGGGGGTAGAGGCTGCAAGGTGGAGTCCCTTGATCCACCACCACAGCCGGCACAGTGACTGCCACGTGCTGATTGTTCAATATGTATTTGTGGACTGACTGAAAAAAAAAAAAAAAGAAAGAGTCCTGGTCCCCCAGCTGTCATTCTGGGCCACTTGCGAGAGGCTGTGGGGCCACGCAGAGCCTTGGTCCCTTCCTTAACTGACTGTCGTCCTGGACGAGGTTTCCGATCCTGCCTTCATGATGGGCGTCCCCATCGTGCATTGGTGACTCAGTGAAGCGAGCCAGGCTCGGTTTTCCCTCAAGGCCTCCTGTCCTTGCAGGCTGGAACGAGCTGCTGATCGCCTCTTTCTCCCACCGTTCGGTGTCCGTGCAGGACGGCATCCTCCTGGCCACGGGCTTGCACGTCCACCGGAGCAGCGCGCACAGTGCCGGGGTCGGCTCCATCTTTGACAGGTGTCCCCTCTGCTCCCGGCATTGTGTGTGTGCGTGTGTCTGTGCGTGTGTGTGTACGCGCAGGCTGGGGGCATTGTCTGGAACACGGGGCACAGGGCGGGTACAGAACAACCACCGGGCCAGTTCACATTCCGGCCTCTGGCCCACTAAATGTGGTTTTCTCATCACCTGTCCTTGCTTTCTGTGAACAGAGTTCTCACCGAGCTGGTTTCTAAGATGAAAGACATGCAGATGGACAAGTCGGAGCTGGGGTGCCTGCGAGCCATCGTCCTGTTCAACCCAGGTGACGACTGGCGTGGAGTCCCCGTGCATGGCCCGCGGCACTCCAGCGCCTTTTGGTCCTCCAGTTCAGCCGGGACAGGAATCCTGTCGCTGGAGAGTACAGACGGCCAGCCGCTCACGGCCTGTGCCTTCAGAGCCGTCTCGAAAGTGTTTGGAACAAACGTGGCGTGTGCACGTTCGGTGTGGGGGGACGGTGACAGGGCTGTGGTGGTGGAGGAGGCAGTCGCAAGAGGTCGGGCTCTGGATGTACCTCTAGGGACCACTCAGGGGTCTGCTGATAACCTGGGTGTGTGGGGTCTTCAAAAGGCTCGTGGAAAACGTGTATGATGAAAAAGCACCATGCATGGATTTCAGTTTTTTTTTTTTTGCACCAAAGTTAACTTGTGCTTTATTGCATTTTCCCACAAACTTTCTGAAGTCCCATGATACGGGAAAGAAGAGAGGAGTGAGGGCCGGCCAGTGGGCAGCTCGGTGGTGCTAGGCCCACCTGGCAGGCCCTCTTCTCAGCCCGAGGTCTCTCTGCACGCTCAGCAGTGTTGCCAGAGCTTAAGCCTCTTGTCTCTTCCAGATGCCAAAGGTCTGTCCAACCCCTCCGAGGTGGAGACTCTGCGGGAGAAGGTTTACGCCACCCTGGAGGCCTACACCAAGCAGAAGTACCCTGAACAGCCAGGCAGGTGAGGCGGCGGGAGGGTGGAGTACGCTCCCTCCCAGTCCGTGCGCTGGGCTCTGGAGCGCCCTGGGCGCCGTCCGGACCTTCTCTCGCGTGGTTTAATCTCCATCATGAGTTGAAAGCACTGACACGGTAGCGCCAGGAGGCTGGCCTTGCCCGTCGTGTTCGCCATTACTGCTCTAGCAGGAGGGCTCAGAACAGTGCCTGGAAGGTCTGGTACATCTTTTAAAATTCGTTTATTTCTTAAAGTTTTAGCCATGGGGTATGTGTGCTTGCCAGAGAGACAGGGAGAGAAAAAGTGAGAAATCACTCCAGTGGGATGGCTATGCTGTGAGCCCTTCTCCACCATTGTCTTCCTGGGATTTGGGGCATGCACACACACGCGCCTGGTGCGATTTTCAAGCCACTAGGTCCAGGACTTGAACCGTAGCTGTCCATGTGGGAGGCCAGTACCTTAACCACCACGCCACCTGCTGGCCCCACAATACATCTTTAAATGCTGGAGGAACAAGCAGATGAGTGGGTGAGTGTGTGCATCGTGACCTCCAACTTCTAACAAGGAATGGAGGCTCAGAAAAGCTAAGTAACTTGCCCCAAACAGTGAAGCTGATGTGCGGTGGGGGCGAGATGGAGCCAGGTCTGCCTGATTTCAAAGAGCCTGTGTTTGAAGTGTGGCTGTGTTGCTTCCTGGCTGGTGCCCGGGATCCCCCGTGTGGGAGAAAGTGCAGCATCGGATAGCCAGATGTGGCTGCTGGCTTCCAGGGTGACATCAGTGTGGGCTCTGGCAGGGTGCTGGGTCTGGGCTCCTCATTTGGGGGTAAAGAAGTTCCCCGAAGTTCTCTGAAGCCATGTAGCAGGTATTCCTGCACCACTAAAAAACAAATCTCTTCTCCCAACCTTTCCTCCACAGTACAGCTCAATACAAATTTTCCCTCTCTGATAACCACAGGTGAAATGAAAAAATACAATCCTCAAATCTTCTAGGAGACGAAATGAAATGGCCAAGACCGCCCTGAAGACCCATTCGTGTTGTAACGAGTCCCCCTTAGGATTAATTTGTATACCCTCCTGCTTCTCACTAATGACCCTTATTCCCTGTGAAGTTTAGTTTTTGCTAAAGCTGCTTATCCTGGATCATAAGCCAATGTCTGTCCATTGACTGGAAGAGACCGAGCTGGGGTTTCGAGACCGTGTGTAAATCCAGGGGGTGAGCCTCAGCCCTGGGGTGCCGTGAAGAGCAGGCCCCGTGTATTGGAAAGGTGAAGCTGCCAGGGTCCACCGCGAGGGGCAGCAGTGAGTCAGCACGGATGGGCGGTCAGGGCACGGAGGTGGCTCGCCTCCACGTCTTCACTCAGGGACCCAAGCTCCTTCCTTCTGTGGCTCCCCGGTGACCCCGTGCCACATCGCGTGCTGCCTGCGGATGATGGGCGGGGCAGAAGTGGAGCAGAGAGGCCGGGCTGTGCGCAGGGCCTTCCTCTTCATGGCTCCACATTGCTCACACCTGGGCACCTGGGACTAGCCACGGAGAGGCTGGGGACCCTGTGCAGCTGCATGCCGAGGAAGGGCAGATGGGTTTGCTGAACACCCAGCAGTGTCTTCTCCTGGAACTTGGCCCTTGACTCTTCCTGGAAGAGGGCTGCCCGGGACTTGGGCTGCCTGCAGACACCAGGGGGAGAGCGTAACACCTGATGCCTGAAGTTGGGCAGAGTCTGGAGCTGCTGAAGTGCCAGAGGCTGGGTGTACCCGACATGGCATGGACAGTGTGACCACCCGAGTGCCGGCGGAAGGCTCAGCAGATACAGCGGGTGTCACCTGGCTAGCCTGGGCAGCGGAGTGTGCTGTCATGTTGTGGTACCGTGCTGCCACCCCGTGGACACTTTGAGAAGTACATGTCGGAGGAGCGAGCTCTTCGCAGAGATCAAGGCAGGAGGGTGCAGAGCTCGCGTGCACACCCCTTGCACACACAGCGGGCACCCTCAGAGCTGCGGAGGGTGCAGAGCTCGCGTGCACACCCCTTGCACACACAGCGGGCACCCTCAGAGCTGCGGAGGGTACAGAGCTCGCGTGCACACCCGTCACACACACAGCAGGTGCCCTCAGAACCGCGACCCCCTGGCTGCCTCCACCGCTGTGGGAGGCAGGGACAGGCGTGGCTGTGACTGTTAGTGGGTACACTCCATGACCAAGTCCAGGTCAGACAGCAGAGGGTGGTTTTGGGCATATGAGGGGCAGTCTTCCAAACGTTCGTGGAAAACAGGTGTTTCGAAAAAAGATCCATGGGCTTCAAAATGTTTATGCACCAAAGTAAAATTATACTTTACTTCTGTCTTCCCAGGAACGTTTTGCAGTTCTCTTGTATTTAGCATTTGACCTGTTATGAAACATCAGCAGTTTTAGAGTTAAAAAAGCTTTTTTGGGGCCAGCAGGTGACATGGAGGCTAGGGCACTGGATGTCACATGGCCAAGTGTGTGATTTGCGTCAGGAGGCTTGAAGTTGTCTGGCACGTGTGCGTGTGTGCTCAAATCCCTAGAGGACGATGGGGGGAGGGATTGTGGCATGGCCGTTCCCTCTGGGTGTGATTTCTCACACCCTCCCCGCCCCTGGTGTCTCTGGAGACCGCGTGTTCCCTATAGCACACACACAGTTTAAAGTGCTCTTGAGAGATCATCTCAGCGTAAGTTAGCACTTTACAGGGTGTAGAGCGCAGCCCTCTCTGCCCAGCCCCTTCCCACAGCAGTGCCGTCTGGAGCCTGCAGGGCGCGTCGTTGGCCGTGTTCAGTTTCGTGCTGTTGTTGCAGTAGACGGAGTTTTCCGTGTGGAGAAGTGACTCCTGCTTTCAGGGCAGCTGTACTTTTCTCATATTGCTGCCCTTCCCTAGAACTTCATGAGGCCTGAGTATATTGTAGAAATGCAAGAAATCACCCCCTCCCACCCCTAGGGAAAATGACCATGCCACAATCGCTTCTCCTCCATTCTCCTCCTGGCATTTTGGGCACACATGCCTGGCATGAGTTTGAAGCCACCAAGTCCAGGCCTTAAACCACGGTCGACTCTGTGGGAGTCCAGCAGCGTAACCATTATGCCGTCTGCTGGTCCCAGCCATGGAATATTCTCAGTGAAAGTTCAGATTCCTGCTTGAAGCACCATTGAGCACTCAGGGTCCATCTCTAACCAGAAATCTCTGCCGTGGAGCCCCAGCGACTGGCGTGGCTCATCCTGCACTTCCTGTTGGAAGGCGTTGAGAGCACTGAAAGTCAGTCTCCGTGGCAAGGAGGGGACAGCGCTGCAGAGGGCTAGCAGGCGGGGCGCGGGCCTGCGAGGACACCAGAGTGAGGTGGAGCCCTCCCCGCAGGCCCCTCCCTCATGTGAACGTCACAGCCAATTCCTCAGCCGTGGAGAAGTGTGTGTGAGGGCGTGGATGAAAGAGTGGTGTAAGGAGGTACATTTGTGTCAGAGCGTGAGCAGGCACCTGTGTGAGTGGCGTAGCACACGAGCGTGCGAACAGGCGTGTGTGTGGATATGAATGCGAGAATGCACAGGCATGCATGTGAGCGTGAGGCCTTGGGTACGAGCACATGCTGAGGGCACGTGCGAGGATGAGTGTGTAAAGGAGAACGAGGGTGTGTGTGAACAGGGAGGGCCGTGTGTGCATACGCATGTGTGTGTAAGTGGACATGAATGTTTGAAAGGTGAGGATATGCATGCACGAGGTGTGAGTGTGAGCGTGCACACGTGTGAGAGTGGTGAGGGTGTGTGTGCAGGTGTGAGCATGCAGAATGTGTGCAAGGATAGGTCATTTCCAGTAGGCCGTGGTGCTTAGGGACAGTGCTTTCTCCTTTGTGTAATTTGAAGGGAAGTGCAGGTGGAGCCTGGTGAAAGCTGGTAACATTTGGTTACAAACTGGCAACAGAAATTCATAACCTGAGCGGCTGGAGGCCACGCCGACTACAGCAACTGGAACAGGAGGGCAGGCCAGCGTCCTGGGAGTGCGCTGTGTCACAGACTTTGACGTGCCGCCTCGCCCAGAGGGTCCTTCCAAGGTCCTAGTCGCTGTGGGGTCCGTGCCCACGGTGTCACGCTCTGTCCTGAGTGTTTCCACAGGTCTTCCCGAGAGCCTTCTGGGTCCCAGAGAATGTGAGGGCTACGAGGTGGCCAGCACCTGCCGTGAGAAGTCACCCCTGGGGGGATGGCCACACTGCAGTCCCTTCTCCTGTTCCCTTCCTGGGGTTTTGGGCACTTGTGCTCATGCACTTGGTGAGATTTTCACATCGCTGAGTCTGGGATTCGAACCATTATTGGCCATGTAGAAGTCCAGCCCTTGAACCATGGTGTCACCTGCTGGTCCCTGGTTTTTGCCTTTAAGATCAACTCCCTGTGGGGCCGGCAGGTGCGTGGTGGTTAAGGCACTGGATTCCCACATGATGGTGGTTCGAGTCCCACACCTGGCAGGTTGGAAATCATGCTGGTGCGTGTGCATGCGTACCCAAAATCCCATGCAGAGAAAGGACTGAAGTGTGGCCATCTCCCCAGGGGATAATTTCTCACTTTTCCTCTCTCTGTCTCTCCCCGGCTAGCACACGTACCCTGGGGCAAAAACTTTAAAACAAACAAAAACCCTCACCCTCTAGCCTATTTCTGAAGCTGCCTAGGCTTAGAAATTCTATAACCCCCTGTCATCCCTCAGGCTCCTCTAGCACAGGATGGTGGAGGAGACCGATGAGGCCACGGCCCGGCAGGTGCCCGGCACACCCTTCCCGGCCTGACACCCTCTGCTTCCCTGTAGGTTCGCCAAGCTGCTGCTCCGCCTCCCGGCCCTGCGCTCCATCGGCCTGAAGTGCCTGGAGCACCTCTTCTTCTTCAAGCTCATCGGGGACACCCCCATCGACACCTTCCTCATGGAGATGTTGGAGACCCCACTGCAGGTCACCTGAGCCCCCAGGATCACCCCTGGGCAGGTGTGTGTGGCCCCGCCCCCGCACACTCCCCGCGCCCGTTCCCCAAATGTGATGCTTGTAATAGAGAACCCCTTTGTACACATGAGGCTTTATAGGCGGAGTTTTGTAGAGATGTTAGAGGCAGTCCTTTGCTATCCAAGGGGCTGGGGGGCTTTCTGGGCGTTCCTGGGAGAACTAACCAAGTCTCTGTACATATAACTGGTTTAAATTATTTTTTCACTTGCCATGGAGCGCAAACGGAGAATAAAACAATGTACGTGATACTGGCGTGCTTGGCCATGGGCTGTTATTGCCGCAGGGAGGTCGGCGCAGTGCGGGAGGGGTGATTTCTCGCTTTCTATCTCTCTGTTTCTGTCTGTCTGGCGAGTGCATGCGCCCTATAGCAAAAACCTCTTCCCCCCCCCAAAAAAATATATATATGTCAAGTCCTAGGCATTGATGAGAGGTAGTGTAGTAACGAAGGAGTGGATTTTCTTTTTTGTGGGTTTTGCCGTAGGGCATATGTGGAGAGACAGAGAGGAACGGAGGGAAAGGGAGAAGTCACCTTTCAGGGCGAGTGGCCATGCGGCAACCTCTCCTCCATCCCCCTCTCAGCATCTGGGCACACGCACACATGCTTGACGTGATATTCAAGCTGCCGGGTCTGGGACTCGAACAGTGGTCTTCCACATGGGAATCCAGCACCTTAACTACCCTGCCACCTGCTGGCCCAAGGAACGGATTTTCTGTCGTGAACCATCAGCAACAGCAGAGACCAGAGGACCTCTGGTTTATCGTCCATCACTGTCGAACCCCGCATAGGAGAGAGAAAAACCCTCCCCCAGCCGCAGCCTAGGCCCTCGGGGTGTGTCCAGGGGCCCTGGCGCCTGACTCTGCAGCAGGACAGCGAGCTCTCGGGTAGGGACAGTGCCCAGCTGCAGCACGGCCAGTGTCACCTGTGTCTCCCAGGCACCTGCCTGCCCTCCGCAACAACAGGGCTCAGCACACACCTGCACTGTGGTTTACACAGCAGCAGCGGCAACCCCCACACCTGCACGCGGCAGCTGGGTGTGCCTTCTCCGTGCCGCCACGGCTTGGCACACGGTCGGCACAAGGAAGTGTGTGTTGGTGAGCTGGCACATTTCACGACTGGAAGTTGCCAGGGCCAGGTGGGTGGTAACTGCCTCATCCCCATCAACAACTTGTCACCTCAGAGTCCCCCAGGGCTCACAGTCCAAATCCTCCCACCAGTGACCACGCCATGGCTCACAAGGGGACTTTGGAAGTTTATAGGAATGTGGCATTAAAGTCCAAGCCTAATTTGGGGTTGAAAATTTTTGAAATCTGTGCAGGGTTGTTTTTTGTTCCAAGAATTATTTTATTTAACATTTATTTATTTGTTTTAATTTGATTAGAGAGGGACAGAGTGAGAAAGTGAGAGAGAGAGAGGGGGAGGGAGAGTAAGAAAGCAAGCCGCCAGGTCCAGGACTTGAACTGCAGTGGCCATGAGGGAGTCCAGCACCTTAACCACCATGCCACCTGCCAGCCCTATACAGGGCTGTCTTATAAGACCCCCCACTGCATATTACTGAGGAAAGCTTGGAGATACCTTAGCCTTGGCCATTAAACCATGGAATACACATCTTGATTTCGTTGTTTTTCCTTTTCTTCTTTGTTGTATCTGCACTTACTACGACCGAGGATAAAGACAGTTGGGGAAGGCGGGCTAGGATTTCACCGCGCAGGCTCTGTGGCCTCTTCCCTCCCCCAGTGGCCGCCTTGGGGCAATGTGGGCCTTGGGGCACCCAGTGCCACCTCCCGGTGTGACCTGAGTCCTGACCCAGACTTGGGCCCCAGCTCTCGCCACCAGCAGACACCGCAGGGGCCTGCAGCGCGGTCGGGCTGGCTGTTTCCACCATGGCCGGCACCACCCCCCTTTCACTAGCAC